CAACCCTGTGTAGGGTTTCCAAGGAGCAGCTGGTGAGCTTGAACCACTGGTCTTGCAGTTCAAATGACTTTGCAGTCTGACGCATTAGCCCACAGCGCCACACCAGGACTTCAGTGTGTGTGTGTGTATATGTAGGTTGAACTTCTGGCATTGGGCTGTAAGATAAGCACAGTACAGCAAGGTCGATTTGAACCACAAGGTCCGCACTTCAAATTCACCATTTACTCCTCAGAAACCCTATACTGTGTCACTATGCATCAGAACCGACTTGATGACACTTAGCAACAACATCATATGTAGGTATGGAGTCCTGGTATGGCACTGTAGAATAAATACAGGAATGCAAGGTCAGTTTGAAACACAGGTAGACAGTTCAAACTCACCAGCCGTTCCTCACAAACCCTGTACTTGGTCGCTATAAGTCAAAACCAACACCATGGCATTCAACAACAATATGTGGATTGAGTCTAGAGATGTATATGTACGTTAGTCATAGTCATAGTCTCAGGTTGTTGTCTGCTTTTGTTAGTTCTCTGTCCAAAGAGCTTCCTTTAGTAATTTTTGTTAGTTTGGTCTGGGTTTTACAAATCCTTTTCATTTCTGTTTATCTGAAAATGAACAAATTTTGCCATCATACTTGATCCAGAGTTTTGCTGGATATATGATTCTTGGTTGATAATTTTTTTCCTTCAGAATTTTATATATGTCATTCCACTGTCTTCTTGCCTGCATGGTTTATGCTGAGAAATCAGCTTAGTTGTGTTAGTTCTCTTTTGTAGGTAACTTTTCATCTTTCCTATATTGCTCTCAGGATTCTCTCCTTGTTATTGATTTTTAAAAGGTCCATTGTAATATGTCTTTGTTTTTGTTTTTGTTTTTTGTCCTTGGTTTTTGCAGGGGAGGCTATTCTGTTTAGAGTTCCCACAATTTCTTAACTGGCTATTTTTTTCATCTTTTGTGATGTTAAGGAAGTTTTCATTCAACAACTATTGGACAATATTCTCTGTGGGTTTTTTGGGGGTGGCCAGGGTTTGTGTGTCTTCCTGTTTTGGAATTCATATCACATGTAAGTTATTCCTCTTGATATGATGATGGCATGCCATGTAGTCGGTTCTGACTCATAGCGACTCTGCATAGGGCTTCCGAGGCTATAAATCTAACAGGAGCAGAAAACCTCATCTTTCTCCCATGGAACACCTGATAGCTTCGAACTGTTGACCTTGTGGTTATCAGTTTGACTCGTAACCAGTACACTACAAGAGCTTCTTCCTGTTGATATAGTCCCATATAAATTTTAGGCTTTTTACAAATGTTTTTATTCATTTTTTTCTTACTGTTCCTTTAGCACAGCAGTCTTCCTGTTGATATAGTCCCATATAAATTTTAGGCTTTCTACAAATGTTTTTATTCATTTTTTCTTACTGTTCCTTTAGCACAGCAGTGGGGAATCTTTTTTCTGCCAAAATTTATAACATCATTTGAAGGCCAAACAAAATTACCAACTTAAAAGTTAGCTTGCTATATTTGGGCAAACATTTAATTAACTCACCCCAATATGATGGAGAGAGCCCTGGTGTGACTCTGTGGGATAAAGCACTGGACCACAAGGTCGGTTTGAACTGCAAGGTCGGTGGTTCAAATTCAGCAGCCACTCCTCAAAAACCCTATACAGTGTCACAATGAGTCGGAACCAACTGGACAGCTCTTAACAACAACAAATATGTTGACTAGAACTGCAATTGCCTTGGGAGGGCCAGGCCAAATGGTTTTGTGGGCCTTATGCGGTCTACAGGCCAAACATTTCCCACCCCTGCTTTGTTTGTGTAGTTAAGTGCCGACAACTTGGTTCCTAACCATAAGGACCCTGTGTAGGGTTTCTGAGAGGCGAATTGCCAGCCTTGCAGTTCAAACTGACTTTGCAGTCTAGCGCATTAACTCACAGCTCCACATGCCGTGTTGTTGTTGTTGTTGTTGTTGTTGTGTGCTTTGGGGTTGGTTCCGACTCGTAGTGACCCTGTGTAGGATTTCCGAGGCTGAAAATCTTTGCAGGAGCTGAATGCCTCATCTCTTTCCCGTGGAACAGCTGGTAGTTTCGAACTGCTGACCGTAAGATTGTTGTTGTTGTTAAGTACCGTGAAGTTGGTTCCGACTTATAGTGACCCCGCACAGGGTTTCTGAGGCTGTAAATTTTTACGGGAGCAGAACGCCTCATCTTTCTCCCGCAGAACCTATGGTAGTTTCGAACTGCTGACCTTGAGGTTAGCAGCCCATTTCGTAACCACTACACCGTACAGGGTCACTGTGAGTCAGAACTGACTCCATGGCACCTAACAACAACGACAACACTACCAGAGCTCCTTGACCGTGAGATTAGCAGCCTTATTTGAACCACTACGCTACTGGAGCGCATTAAGCAGGTGATTATTGAGAGATTTTTCTTGAAGTTCAATAATTAGACTTTCCGTTGATTCATTGCTGGTTTTTCCTCTTTCAGTGTGTTATCTATTTCTGAAATCTCAGTGTTAATCTTTTGGCTTTCTAATTGATGATTTTGTACGGTTCCCATTTTTCATCTACTTTGTTGGTTTGTTTCCTGAATTTTTCCATAGTTTTGTGTTATGTTTTCCTTGATTTCATCTGTAGTTTTCTCTAAATCTTTCTCACAATCCATGAAGTTGACTAATTAGCGATCCTTGAAATTCCTTATCAGGTGTGGCGATACAATTTCTTGTGTTATATTTTCTGAATCTGTATTTTGGTCACTTGCTTGAGGCTCTCTGCCTTTTTTCTTTGTATAAGCTGAAATTGCCTGTTTTCTCTGAGACATTGTCATATTTATATTTAGTTGATGATTGTATATTGATGTGTTCTCTGGCACTCACCACCTGTCTCCTGGTGGGTGTGTCTGTAGAGACTGGAAGTGTGAATGCAGTTAGTTTTGTGGTGGGTTCAAGCACCTCTAGACGCAGATCTGTGCAGGGGTCCCAGTGGCTTGGTTGGCGAGGGCAGGACTGGCCATGTCTTTGTATACCAGGAGGGAACAAGTGAAAACTATACTCCTTTACGCTAAGCTCCAGCTGTGTCTTATGCCTTTAGGCTGCTGTATCAGTTGTTGTTAAGTGCTGTTGAGTTGGTTCCGACTCATAGCAACTCTATCTAGAGTTTTCGAGGAACAGCTGGTGAACTTGAAATGCTGACCTTGCTGTTCAAACTGACTTTGTAGCCCAGTGCATTAACCTGCAGTGCCACGGCAGGACTGTAACAATAGCCGCTAGCAAAAGTGCAAGGTGGCTTTTGCCACTCTATGCCAGTTTGCAGGACTCCCGTCGTTCTTCTTTCTCACTGTTTTTGTTCCACTGCTTCTTCTAGGCAGCACTCAGTCCACTTCTCTGTCCTATCCTCTGATGGTTAGGGTCCCAGGATCACCCATGGCTTTCTCAAAGAGTCTATTAACTCTGCAATTTTGTCCCAAACTCCTTTAATGGGTTTTTTAATGTCTTGTGTGATAAGCGTCTGTTTCACATTTTTGCAAATGGATTTTGGGTACCATTTGCTAAAGAGGTTGTCTTTTCCCCATTTAATGTATTTTGCCCCTTTGTCAAAGATCATCTGCCCATGAGTGGATAGATTTACTTCTGCATCCTGAGTTCTGATACATTGGCCTATGTGTCTGTCATTGTATCAGTGCCAGCTTTTTTGACTTCTGTGGCTGTGTAATATGTTTTGAGACTGGGAAGTGTGAAGCCTCCTACATTGTTTTTTAGTATTGCCTTGTTCATCCGGAGCCTCTTTCCTTTCCATACAAAGCTAGTGATTAGTTTTTCCATCTCTTTCAGTAATGATGTTGGAATCTGGATCAGGATTGCATTCTGTTTGTAGTTCACTTGGGATAATACTGACATTTTTTAAATGTTAAGTCTTCCTGTCCATGAGCATGGAATATTCTTCCAATTATAAAGGTCCATTTTGGTGGAAAATAGTTTATTATGCGAAGGATATTCTTTGACCATTCTAGCCATTGAAAGACTTCCCAAAACAATTAAACAGTCATCCAAAAAGGTTATTATAATTATTTTCTCTTATCAGTAACACTTCAGAAACTCAGTTTAGTTTAATTTATACTAGTGTGATGTTGTTATCAACTGCCATCGAGTTGGTTCCAATTCATAGTGATCGGTATAGGGTTTCCAAGGAGTGGCTGGTGAATTTGAACTGCCATTTTGCAGCTCAAACTGACCTTGATGTCCAGTGCTTATCCTACAGCACCTCACCAGTACTTATGTGTGATTTAGTTGTTGTTGTTGTTAAGTGCCATTGAATTGTTTCTGACCCCGGTTGATGGATTTTAACCACTGACGTTGCAGTTCAAGCCAACCTAAGGTCTAGTGCTTATCCTGCAATGCCACACTAGTGTGTATTTCAGCAGTGTGTATTCTAATTTCAACTCATATTTGAGTCAAGATAATTAATAGATGTTTATCTCTTGTGCATTATTAAAATATGTATGTTGTTTTAGTCCACTGAGTTAGTTCCAACTATAATTGCAACCCTGTATGTGGTTTCCAATGCTATAAATCTTTGCTGGAGCAGAAAGCCTTATCTTTCTTCTGTATCTAATAGTTTGGGAGTCTAGAAACCTGAATGCAGAATACCAGCAATGAAGAGAAAGTTCTTTGTCTGCTTATAGCATTACTTAAAGGTGGTCCCTGTGTCTTGGCACAAATACCCACACTAAGAATTCTTTTATACAAACAGCACTGTATGGGGATGAGTGCTATTCCAACCTCATTTTGAAAATACTAAGGTATTATGTTGACATTGTTATTAATGTTATATGAGGTTTAAATCTTACCTTTTATTTTTCTTTTCTAGGTTCAAAGCAGTGGCACATGATTGGCCACCTGCAGCCAGAAACCTCCTATGACATTAAAATGCAGTGTTTCAATGAAGGAGGAGAAAGCGAGTTTAGTAACGTGATGATCTGTGAAACCAAAGGTAGGAGAGTGGTTAGGATTTGTGCTATATTTCTGCACTATGTGAGAATCCAAAACTTTGGATTATTCCTACTGGCTGAGCAAGTTTATGTCTTGGATCACGTTCTAGGTACATATGTTCTGACTGTCACAGCAAAAGTAGAATTGTTGGTTAGAACACTTGTCTGAAACATAGCTTCTATAAGCATTGATTCTGCTCTTTAATCTCTGTATGGCTCTAAATAAGTCAGCTCCCTCACTTTTCTTCATGAAGAGAATACAAATATTTGCCCACTCCTTTGAGATTGCTAAGAAACAGAATCCTAAAGCCATAGAAGGAATGTTAAGGAAAAGTGCTATCTCAGCTTGATGTGGTTTCTTGAATGCCATATATGTATAGCACTACCGACTATCCAGATCAGTCATGAGGTACAACGTTGTCTGTGATAGGATAATATCCATGCGCCTACAGGGAAGCCCAGTTATTACCACTATTATTTAAATTTATGCACCAACC